CCACAAGCCAAATCTAACACCCTCTTTCGAAAAGGTTACTTGTCGTACGTTACACGAGGTTTTGAATTTTGGAGCGATAGAGTCGCAAATTTCCGAACCGAACAAGATGTACGCAGATCGTAAACTCTCGCGTATTCCTTTCTATTTATCTATTGAGCCAAGACAGCTTTCAAAATTAGCTTCTTTACCTCACCAAATACGAACAACTCAAGATTTACTAATTACAAAAGAGAAAACTTTAGAAAGACGTTGCGGTTGGGAACTTGAGTTCACGAAAAACATACAAAAGAAAGGTGCAAAATGGATAGCACCAAAAAATTGCACCGTGAGTCTTTTGCTATTTTTAATTTATATTAAGTTCTTAAAAGTTGTTTTTTTTTAATAGTGATTCCTTTTCTAGGCACTAAATCTATTAAAAAATCCTTATGACCGATGCAGTTCATTAAATGAAAGCCAAAATCCTCTAAGGAGTTGGCAAATATGTAAAAAAAATATAAAAAAAAATTATTTCCGTTGAAATTTATTTTATTATTTTCTTATTATAAAATGGATTCCTGGATATTTATTTTTTTGATAGATTAGAGAATTTTCAAGAATTCATTATCAAGAAAAATATTAGATTAATAATAATCGATTCATTTGGGACTCTTATAAAAAAGGAGTTTATTGGTAAAAATGATTCCTTAGACAAAAGAAGTCGATTACTAGTTAAATTTGATGCATGGTCAAAGTAGGCAATCATAGCATTTTCATAATGTGTATAAAATCAATTTTTTACACATTTTATTTTGATTTATTTTTTATCTCAATATTTACGTAATCCTAATGACGACAATCGTGCCAAATCAAGTAATTTCATTGTTACAATATCAAGTATCATTGCAAACATTCCCTTTATATATTATTTATTTATTTGCATATGAAATTTTTCGCTTGATCCTCATCGTAAAAGCTTTTGTTGAAGAGCCATACGGTGCCATAGATTTTAATAAATGATTCATTACTCTTTTATGCTGTACTCTCCAAAAAGACTGGCAATAACATTTTCGACCTTGAGGTAAAATCCTTCAAACAATTTTTAGCACACGATTCATTAAAAAAAAAAAGAAAAGCCTGGAGTACATAATATTCTTGTTAATTGAAAGCTAGTAACATTTTACAAAAACTTAAAGAAACGAACATGGGTTTCAAGTTAAATCGGTATATTTGGTTCCAAATAATGATGCCTGACGAATGACAAAACCTTTCGTTATGACGAATGACAAAACAGTTTCATCATGCAACTTCGAATTGACGAATGACGTAACTCGTGACGAATGACGAAACTCGTGACGAAACTCATGGAAATGATAAATTTTATATGTAAGATATGTATTGCATTGGGTACATGGTTTATCTTTTAGGAATCGTTAAAAACTGGTTCATTCCCAGGTTTTTATTATTACATATATATTATACTATTTTTTCTATTAAAGTTACGTATTTCATAAAGTTTAGCTGTCGTTCCGTCGATCAGTACCCGGTGTACTATGTACGTGGAATGTTGTACATTATAGGTTGGGACTTCGATCGTGAACTGTGTTCACGATATCACATGATGTGATCGGATAACTCAATATGATTGGATGGGCAATATGCGTAAATCGGCTAAATCAATGATGTAATAATTAGATGGTTTAATACTCATTTTAAAAGGTAATGGAATATTCAAAATACTTAGAAAAACCGTTAATCATAATACTTTCTGGTTGTACGTTTATTGAATAAATAAAATGATTAATTTATTGCTTATCGATATTATTTTGTTAGTCTGAATTTTTGTTTGTATTCTTTTGTAACATAAATTTTTAGTGCTTGATTTATTAGTCATGTAATGTTCGAAACTTTTTGGGTGACGATTTTACCCTGGTCTATATTATCGTTATACCAATACTGTCGAAATTAATTACTTAACCGGATCGACCGAAAAATTATTCGGCTAATTTTTGCCAGGTGTCCCAGAATTTATGATAAAAGCTTGTAAAGAAATTACGGCAAATAATACGGCACATGCCGTAACCGTATTAATTTGCCAAATGAATTCTACCGCCAACTATATGCGTATCGGTTTTGAGAGGATCGACTGTACTAGTAAATCCAATACCGATAACATCGAATTCAAAAGCTTATCGAATTTAGGCGAAAAAATTTTTTATTGGTTGTTCTAGAATTTATAAGAACAGCTGTAATTATTAAATCCAGATTTAATTAATCCAGATTTAATTATTAAATCCGGAATACATATCATATGGGGCACGAGAAACTTTTTATGCATGCTCCTAGAAGCATGTCTCTACTGGAGCATGCTTTTTAGTTTAAAGGCATGCCAATGGCATGCCCATAGACTCTGTACAGCAGATATCCATCACAATTGAATCCAACATAAATAATTTAATTTGTGATTGATCACAGGCGAGAGGGATTCACTTTGGATCGGGCACTGTCTCTGCTGTAATAACCGGGTATTTTACAAAAGGGGGTACTCAAAAAGAAATCTTTTAGTCAGTGCACTACGATGTATAAATTTTTAATATGTAAAGTGATGGTCTCAAAAATTCAAACAATAAGCCACTAATAAATGGCTGGGTACGACTATAGGCTTAGAGTTTTAATAAAATAATACACCCTATAACTTTTAATAACAAATCACAGCCACTTATATTTGGGTATGTCTCCACCATCATTGTAGGGCTTTGGGAACAATTTCCCAAATTCAAATTTGAAAATTGTATTAAGTCATATAATTTTATGCAACAAAACATATACTATGAGTAGAGCACCTACCCAAGAACAAAGTTTGATCAAACAGTCCTGAAGCCCTATAACGGTAGAGACTGACCCATTTCTTATCTGAAAACGAAGATAACTTTAGATTTTTAAATATTGGTTATATGCTTAGAATCGATTCTAAAAATATATAAACACATTTATACAAATGATTATATATATCAATTAGCCAGAAATATGAATCAGTTCTATTATTATGGAATCGGTTTAATCCCTATACGTATAGTAATTTCAGTTTCAGCCATTAGCCGCCACAACACTGATATTATAGACATGTAGAACGATTTAAAAAACTTTTTTGGCCATTCCTAGTCTCATGACTAAAAAGCGTGTATTATCATTATTTAAATTCCCGGTTGTCACAATCATTTCTCTTACAGAATATTTATCCGACATCACAGGGTGAAATTTTACTAACTCTAACAATATGTACCTCAACTAGTCAAATGTCGCCTATGTGATATCGATATCGGGTAAATAACCTATAAAGGGAATAACTATCGGATACCCTCAAAATTGTGAAAACTGTCATGAAACAGGTAAAGATACGCACCATTTAGTACAACTCTAAATCTGATCTACCGTGTCTATATATATATTCAGAAGATAATTCAAGAATTTAATTAATGCTGTGAATCAAATATACACTTATATTCGTTCTTCGCGTTCAAGACAATAATAATATTAATAATATAGTACCTTAAAATGAAGATTAATGCAAACATTGTCAGTATCGTTCTCTTTATTTTCATTGGCTTCTCAATCGCTAATGATGAACATCAGAAAAAACGAATTCCAGTGATTCTTGATGTAGATGGTGATACTGATGATTTTCTTGCAATTCTTTACGCGCTTAAATCTAAGGAACTCGATATACGTGGTATTACTTATCAAGGTGACGGATGGTCGCATGCAGGTATTTCAATAGTGTAGTTAAATCGCCGTTTTAAACAAAGATAATAATAATATTTATTGATAGCTTCTGCCCAGAATATTGTTGATATTGTGGATGATATTTATTCTAACAAAAACCTTCCAGTCATACTTGGATCTGATTATCCCCTGTGCGGATCCAACAAAAATCCAGATACTTTAGGTACTCCAAGTTGCAGTTATCAAACGTCAGCACCAGAAGGCACTAATGGAAAGCGTGATAGTGATTTGCTGCATGGACTTAATCGACAGCTTAGGTTATCAACACGCCTATGGTATGACGCTATTAAAGGCTTTAATCTCACTGAGGATTTTGCTGATCTCATTGATTCTACGATTGAGCAAACTGGTCAAAAACCCACAATTATATTAACTGGTCCAGCTACCAATGTTGCACTTCTTTTACGTGCTTTTCCAACTTACTCGAAAAAAATCGACAAAATTTTCTGGATGGGTGGCGCTTTAGATGTTCCTGGAAATGTATTCATCGAACCAAATAACACTCGTGCAGAATTTAATATTTTTTTTGATTGTATTGCTGCCCAAGAATTGCTTGCTTCTGATTTGGATTTGATATTGATACCATTAGACTTTACAAGTAAAACTCCACTTAATCTTGCTTTTTTCGATAAACTCTCAAAACTTAATAGTTTTTATGGCATGTTTGTGTATAAACTTTTATCCATTATTCGCGCAACATGGTTTGGTGGGGAATCTGATTTCTTAACTCATTATTCTCTTTGGGACCCTAAAGCAATCGCTGTTGTTAAAGATATTGGTGTTGCAAAAATTGTATCGAATCGTTCATTAGCCATTACTTGTAATGGAAACCCTAATTATGATGGGCAGTTTGTAATTTCTAGTAACCTTACAAAATCAAATTTTAAAATTGCAATAGACGCTGTTGTTAGTAATCCAATTGAAGATTCTCCATTTTTTCAAGACTTTCTCAATGTATTTAACTATGATTAAAATATGTATTGATAATTTGGCTTGATTTCAAATTTAATTTAAATATTCTATAAAAGAAAAAATTACTGGATCATATATATAGTTATGTTTAAAAATAATTGTAATGTTTGTGTCAATTGTACTAATTATCCAACAATTGGATTAATTACTGTAAAATGGGATGTCGTTGAATTGATTTTCGGTGAAATGACACTGATCCCAGAAGAACAACGTCACCAACCTGGTACACATTTTCCGATTGCAATTTTTAAATGTCTTTAGAGTGCTTGAACTATAGTTGGATCGATTTAAAAACCTACATTCAGACATATAAAGTAGGCTTCTTTGTTTTCATTCGGTGTTACTCATATTTCGACTTTTGTATAACATTTCCAATAATATTTTTTCATAGTTTTCATCGTATTTTATTTAATTTGTTTCAGCTTAGTTTTATATTTTATGTTACGGTTACCCGTTATACGAATAAAATCTAAACTTAAAAATGATCATCAATTCTTTTCTACAAAGTTTTGATGATCAGATTATCGTGTAAAATTGGTAATTCAAAAAAAAAATTTTTATTTACAACATATAAGTTTGAATACAATAATTATTGTAATTTCAGAAATAGTAGTTAGAAGCTACTAACTAAAGCAATGAGTAGAAGCTAGTAGTTAGAAGCTACGTATATAAAAAAAGCAGAAAGCAACAATTTTTTTTTAACCATTTTTTTTAACAATAAAATCATCCACGATTATCCTGCTATAGTACTCCGGGTACTATTCAAGTTTCTTGAATAGTATTGTACCTTCCCATATACTAATTACAGGAGACGATACTATAATAAGGGACTTTACATAGTTTAATATTAGTTAAGGGTTTCAGATATAAATAATATCCAATCTCCTGGAACATGATGACAGGGTCTTTTTATGTAAGTATTATAGCATGGGGCACGCACCATAGTCAGTGGTATACGGTAATTGTAACCATCCTAGCGTCATCGACCTAAAAAATTTCGCTATCCAGGCAAATTAAAATTCAAGATCAGGTGTAACATAAAACTAAACAAAATACACTCAAACTAGGTTCATGTAACATAAAATAGTTTTTAAATAACCTGTTAAAAACAGATTATATTAATTTTTTATAATAAGTACGTAACTTTTATTTAAGATAATAAATTTGATAATTAAAAAGTCATATTCGAAACAATTAATTGCTTCTATGCAGTTTTAATCAAAAAGTTTCTGAATATTATAATATATAATAATATTTATACGTATTAATGACTAAATTTAATGAAGTATATTTTTAAAAGCATTGTGAATAAGTTTAATTAGTCAATATTAAGTATTATAAGCAGGATTATATCCCTAATCCAAAACCTACGTCGGTAACCATTTGTTATGTAGTGCACTCTGCATGAACTGAACTTCTGACATTAAAATCCATATATATATCGATATTTAATACAAGTTAGACATTCTGGTGTATATGTCGTACCTCTTGTCTCAGATGTCAATCGGGCTAATTTAGGTAAGAGTTTGAGAAGGGTATAATTTAAGCCAATCAATAACGATCAGTTAATGCTGGCCAAAAAATCGATACCTGAGGCAAGCGTTAGTCTGAGGCAAAACATATACGTATATATGCTACGTATACGATTTTTCAATTGTTTTATATACGATGTAATGTTAGAGCGTGCAACAGTCTATTAAAATCAAATGTAGGCAGATCATTCACTAATTGCGATTTTTGATTGTAAATTTTTTATCGAACAAAACAATAATGATAGTTTGGTTATCTGCATGATCTGAATTTCTGATGTATTACAGTATACCATATACATATTTATACAAGTCAGTGTACCCGACGCATATGGGGTCTTTGCTAGGAAAATCAAGTCACGGGGCCCCATATATATGCTATACGTTTTTCTAATTTTCTTTTTTTTTTAAAAAAATATATACACTATGCAATGTTAGGGTATGCAATGGCCTCTTAGATTAAACGCAAGCAGGGTTGCTTATGATCATTTATAATTATGGATAATTCATTCTTATCGAAACAAAACAATGGTTTAAATATTTGAATATAATAATGATTTATGCACTCTGCATAGACTGAATTTCTGGCATATTGCAGTATTGTAGTATACCATATATATACTATACATATGTATTTCAAACATAGGCAAGGTTACATAATTATTTCTATCAATCCGATATAAAATAATTACAAAAATGGCTCTATTACAGAGTGAAGCTAGTCATCAGATTCACTTTTAAGAAAGAATATAACATGGCCTATTAGTTAAGTCAAGAATATAATTTAATTACCCTGCGATATTATATAATTATATATGTATACCTTTTTTATACTTATTCGTTGTTTTGT